TGCAACACAATTCTAAACAAAATTCCAGGAAGATGTTTCAAAGATATCAACAAGCTGATTCTAAAATGTATACAAAAAGGGAAAGGAACTAGAATGACCAAAATAATTTTGAAAAAGGAGAACACACTTGGAGAACTCACACTACTTGACTTCGAAACTTTAGTAAAGCTATAGTAATCACAATAGGGTGACACTGGCAAAGAGAAAAACACGCAGTTAAAGAGAAGGGAAGAGAAGAGAATCCAGAAACAGAATCATACAAGTAGGTCAACTAATCTTCGGCAAAGATGCAAGTCAACTCAACATACACAGGATAGTCTTTTCAAGAAATGGCATGGAACAATTGATTACTCACATGCAAATTTCTTATGTTTGCCATGTTACACAAAACTTTACTCAAAATAAATCATAGATCTAAAAGTAAAACTGTGAAACTTCTAGAAGAAAACACAGAAGAACATCTTTCTGACCCTGGATTGAGCACAGTTCTTAGATATGGCATCAAAAGCAAATCCATAAAAGAGAAAAATGATAAATTGTACTTCCACAAAATTTAAAACTTTTGTTCTGAAAAAGATAGTGTTAAGAGAAGGAAAAAACAAGCCAAAGACAGGAAAAAATATTTGCAAATCATGTAGCTGACAAAAAACATGTCCATATTTATGTGAAGGACTTTCAAATGCAATAATAACTCAATGAAAAAATGGGTGAGACAAGAACAGATACTTCGTCAAAGATATACAAAAAGCAAATGAAAAAATGCCCAACTTTATTAGTCTTCAGAGACATCCAAATTAAAATAAACTAGACCCGGAATGACTAAAGAAGAAAACTGACAATAACAAGTACTAGGGAGGAAGCAAAACAAAAAGAACTATCCTACATTGCTACTGGGAACACAAAATGGTACAGGCACTTTGGGAAAGTCTGGAAGTTTCTTTTCATCTTTTCTTTTCTTTTTTTTTTTTGAGACAGAGTCTCACTCTGTCGCCCAGGCTAGAGTGCAGTGGTGCCATCTTGGCTCATTGTAACCTCCACCTCCCAGGTGCAAGAGATTCTCCTGCCTCAGACTCCCAAGTAGCTGGGACTACAGTGGCACGCCACCACGCCTGGCTAATTTTTTTTTTTTTTTTTAAGTAGAGATGGGGTTTCACTGCATTGGTTAGGCTGGTCTCAAACTCCTGGCCTCAACTGATCTGCCAGCCTCGGCCTCCCAAAGTGCTGGGATTACAGGCGTGAGCCACTATGCCCAATCTTATTTATTTATTTATTTATTTATTTATTTATTTATTTATTTATTTATTTTGAGTCGGAGTCTCACTCTGTCAACCAGGCTGGTGTGCAGTGGCGTGATCTCAGCTCACTGCAACCTCCATTTCCTGGGTTCAAGCAATTCTCCTACCTCAGCCTCCCGAGTAGTTGAGATTACAGGTGCCTGCCACCACACCCAGCTAATTTTTGCATTTTTAGTAGAGATAGGGTTTCACTACGTTGGCCAGGCTGGTCTCGAACTCCTGACTTCAGGTGATCCACTCCCCTCAGCTTCCCAAAGTGCTGGAACTATAGGCGTGAGCCACTGCACCTAACCATCTTTTTATTTTTTTGAGACAGGGTCTCACTATGTGGCCCTGTGGCCCAGGATGGAGTACACTGGCATGTTCACCACTCACTGCAGCCTCGAACTCCAGGACTCAGCAATCGTTCCACCTCTCAGCCTCCGAAGTAGCTGGGACTACTACAGGTGTGTATCACCACACACAGCTTTTTATTATTTTTTTTTTGGGAGGAGTCTCACTCTTGTCACCCAGGCTGGAGTGCAATGGGGTGAACTCAACTCACTGTAACCTCTACCTCCCAGGTTCAAGTGATTCTCCTGCCTTAGCCTCCCGAGTAGCTAGGATTACAGGTGCCCACCACCACACCTGGCTAATTGTGGTATTTTTAGTAGAGATGGGGTTTCACCATGTTGGCCAGGCTGGTCTCAAATTCCTGACCTCAGGTGATCTGCCTGCCTTGGCCTCCGAAAGTGCTGGGATTACAGGTGTGAGTTACCACGCCCAGCCTAATTGTTAAATTTTTAGTAGACGGGGTGTTTGTTTGTTTGTTTGTTTGTTTGTTTGTTTTTGAGGTAGGGTCTCACTCTGTGGCCCAGGCTAGGGTGCAGTGGTACTATCTCAGCTCATTGCAACCTTCACCTCCTGGGTTCAAGCAATTCTCATGCCTCCAGAGAAGCTAGAATTACAGGCATGTGCCACCATGCCCGGCTGATTGTTGTATTTTTAGGAGAGACAGGGTTTCACCATGTTGGCCAAGCTGGTCTCTAACTCTTGACCTCAGGTAATCCGCCCACTTCGGCCTCATGCCTAGTCCAGGCTGGTCTTAAATTCCTGGCCTCAAGTGATCCTCCCACCTTGGCCTCCCAAAGTGCTGGGATTTCAGGCGTGAGCCACAGTGCCTGGTCCAGGTTGGTCTTAAATTTCTGGCCTCAAGCAATCCTCCCGCCTCAGCTTCCCAAAGTGCTGGGATTACAGGTGTGTGCCACTGCACCCGACCAGATGGTTTCTTAAGTTCAACATACCCATAAATCTGATTCCTAGTTTTGTTTTGTTTTTTTCAAATCATGCAGCCAGCAACCCAAACCAGAATAGTTTCAGAGAGACTCTGACTCCTAGGCATTTACCCAAATGAGATGAATGCCTATGCTGACAAGAAAAACTGTATGTGAACATTCACAGCAGCTTTATTCCCAACTTCCAAAAACTGGAAACAACCCAAATCCTCTTCAAAGAGTAAATGGATAAACAAACTGGGGGCACATTCACACAACGGAATAGCACTCAGCAATAAAAAGAACAAATTAATGGTAAATAAAACAAAGTAGATGAATCTGAAATGCATTATCTTAAGTGAAAGAAGCCAGACTGAAAAGCAACCCAGACTAGGATTCCACAGATACTCATTCTGGAAAAGGCAAAATCATTAGCAATGGAGAACAAAGGTCAAGGGAGGCGTGAAGGGTTGATGAGAGAACATTTTGGGAGGTGATGGAGCTAACTGTTCTGTTGCTTGACTGTGGCGGTGGTTACGCAACTCAAAGGATTCATCAAAATTCACAAGCACAGACTAAAAAACAGTGCATTTTACTGAATGTAAATGAAATAAGTTTAAACAAACATAAGCAAATAAATACTGACAGTGATATATTATAGCCTACTGATTCTAATAAATGTAGACAGAATGATGGAGTTAGAAAACCCAGCACGATTCTTTATAGCAATAACTGATTCAGGCAAGACTCATCAACAGATGCTAGAACTAGTGGGTAAAAGTTTAAGGAGATTCAGGATATTTACATAGTCTCAAAGTATCTTCCCCCAAATTACTCATCATTTACAAAAGGCAAAATAAATAAATTTCCACTGGACAGGGCTGGTAGAAACCAACTTAACGAAGTGGTCAGAGTTAACATTACTAGTTACAGGACAAAGTGACATCACAGCCGTCCGATAAGACATTGAACTGGACATACCATTACTTCTACAGCAATCTTCTCAAAAATGCATGACTCAAATAGGACACAAGAAAACATCAGACAATCCCACATCAAAGGACATTATACAAAACGGCTGGTCTATACTTTTCAAGGCCCAGGCCAAGGCCAAAGCCAAGGTCATGAAAGACTGAGAAACCAGCCCAGATTAAAGAGGCCAGAGAAGTATGACAACTTCATACTGGACCAGGGGGAAGAAACTATGACGGACATCCTTGAGACAAAAGATGAAATTTGAATATAAACTATGGATTAGAATATATTATTGTATTACTGTACAATTTCCTGATATTTATTACTGTACTGCCATTTGGTAAGGAAACAGTCTTATCTAACACATGCTGAATTATTTACAGACAAAAGAGTATGATATGTTTTATATAGGTGTGTATATATATGAGAATGAAAATAATGCAAATGGGGCAAAAACAACTGGTAAATTTGGTAAAGGGTATAAGGGTTTTTTAAAATAATTATTGCAACTATTATGTACATTTGAAATTATGTCAAAATTTAAAATAACAACAAAAATCCCAAGGATGAAACTGCTTTCACAATCCAGCACTATCTATTCCAAAACTAGTAGAAATTTTACAGTTTGTTTTTGTTTGTCTGTTTGTTTGTTTTGTGAGACGGAGTCCTGCTCTACTCCCAGGCTGGAGTGCAGTGGCACAATCTCCGCTCACTGCAAACTCCGCCTCCGGGTTCAAGCAATTCTCCTGTCTCAGCCTCCTGATTAGCTGGGATTATAGGCGTGCACCACCACATCAGGCTAATTTTTATAGTTTTAGTAGGGACAGCACTTCATCCTGTTGGCCAGGCTGGTCTCAAATTCCCGACTTCAGGTGATCCGCGCGCCTCAGTCTCCCAAAGTGCTGGGATTACAGGCGTGAGTGACCTGTGTTTTTAAACTAATTGGCATTACTAATTTAACAGAGTGAATTTGCAAAAAATTGAAAAAATCAGTTTGCATTCACTTAATATCCGTTTAGAAGCCTACGGTCCTGATGATTTCAGGAGTGTGTTTCACTTCAGCATTTCCTCCAGCTATGGGAAATACCAATTTATCATCTACTTGAATCTTTTTTTTCTTGTTCTGTTTTGCACGGTTCTCAAATACAGATAAAGGACACAAGAAAGAACCAACATGTAAAACACAGCACACAAGGAATGCTGAGCACACACCCAACAGGACTAAGTATTAGATGACATGCAGGCTAAGCCACTACCGCATCACAAGTACACGAAAGAAACAATGCACTGAGATCTGTGCCATCATTCACTCATGCAGTGTAGTTTTATAATCGTATATGCAGGAAGGTTTTCACTGTTTGAAAATAAGAAATGGGCTCTGGGAAAATGCTGAAGAGCAAGTAGTGCATCGAAGGCTAAAACACCTGGACGAGGGAAGCTTGGGGCGAGAGCACACCCGAGAACCATGGAAAAGTACCTGGAGCGGCTGCTGCTGGGAGGAAAAAGCAGCAGAAACCTTTGGCGGAAGCTGGGTTGCTATAGCAACAGGAGTCCCAGTCTGCCCATCCTTTCCTGTCACAACCTTTACCTGAGAGGAGATATTTTGAGAAAAAAAGGCAACATGATTTTTACAGCTGCTCAAAATTTTGTTAGAATTTTACTGCTGATAGCTCACTGACATTTGGGGTTTAAAAATGGAATGTTTTTGCATCAGATCCTGTAAAAGGATGCTGGACTGACAGATTTATGGCACGACAACCTAACTCAAACTGCAAACCTTGCAGAAACTCCAATTTAAGTCAAAGTGCAATATCTTTAGATTCTGCAACTTCGAATTTTAAAAATGCATATGGCAGACAGACTTCAAGTAACAAAGCCCTAAGAACTCCGCAGGAGATCTGCACAATAGCCACTCGGTTACATGTAGGGTCAGAATGGCAAAGGTCTTTTTCACCAGGAAGTTAGAAAAACGAATCTGTTTTCTTTCTAAGCACAGAGAAGGGGGATTGAGCTTACAGACAACATTGGTATACAAACGTAAGAGAAATGAATTTTACTGTTTCAGGACAATAGAGGTGAAATCCTCAAAATAATCATATAAACCTGTTGAAAAATAAATAGAATCCATCCTGGAAAAGGCGTTAAAAGAAAACACAAAATGGCAAAGTCACACAAATACATCCATAGATACCAGTAAGGACTGCTTGAGCAAAGAGACTAGCTTTTGTTCACCAAAAGCGGATTTCTTTGCAGAAGAGCTGACAAATATTTAAATTATTTTAACTGTATCATAAAACAAAATAAGCTCCACCAACATAGTATACACTACACAACACAAAGGCACAAAATACAGTGCGTCACGGTCCAATCTGCTCTCACTTTGGTTTTCAGGAAGTCTCAGACTCACCATGGTACTAAGAAATCTCAGTTAAGGGGTTTATTATGTGCCATTCCAAGCACCCAAAAAGTATACTCTCTAAAAAAGAGTCACTCTTAAATATCACTTAATAGGTATTTGTAAAAATGAGTTTTAAGTACGATCTCAAATCTTAAGACTACATCTAAAAATTGAGTAACTTCTCAAACTAGTTTTTTGCCATAATAACTATTTCAATGATGAAGGTCCCATATACATACATCTAGTGACTTATGACTGGTTATCATAAAAAGCTAGTGACTTAAATCGGTTTGAAAACCATGCTGATGGTGTCTTTAAGGAGCTCTATAGAAGTAAAATGCGAAACTTGGAAAACCAGACAAAGGGTGCTGGGCTTTCACACTTTCGGCTGGTGATAGCCGTCAGCGTCAGCCAACAAACCACACACTCAGATACAAGGGGGAAAAACTGGACACGCTTGCTGAGCTCTCTGAACCTGAGATGAACCCTTGGTGCTCAATGAAAACATTGGGTGTTGAATACGCACTCATCGCAGCGCAGCTCCGTCCCTTCCTCCTGACACACCTCTGGGCTCAACAGCTCTTCCTTTCCATGAAGGAGGCCAAACACATTCTTCACGTCTACTTATGGCTCAAATCCTTGTGAAACCAAAACCTTAAAATACCGCAGGCTCAATAAATTATTACTTAATTCATTGTTGCATAGACTCTGATCATCTAGAAGATTTGTACTAAGCAAACTAACTCCTATTTCTTACCTCGTCATTGATAACCTCAGACTTTTCTTCCTCCTCTTCCTCCTCCTCCTCCTCTTCTTCAATGTCCAAATCATTTTGCCTAAGATATGCTTGTAATGGGGCATAATGTTTCTTCTTGAAAGCTAAGAAATCCATCATGTTCCCTTGAAAGTGTTGCAAGAAAAACAGTTCAATCAAATACTCCTTGAAGACCTCCTTCAGAGCCTGCATCTCCTGGTAATGATAGTCCAGGCACTGCTTCCTCATCTGCGCCATCTCCGGAGAGGCTGGGGGAATCTCCTCTAACTTCTTGGGAGCCTTCTTCACTCCCACGTTCCCCACAGACGTGAGTGGGAGGCTGGAAAGGCCTGGGGGCACGGCAGTCCTGGAAGGGCTAGTGGGCGGAGGTGGGGACGTCATCCCAAACCCCGCTGCGCCCCCAGCCCCGGGGAGCAGCACGCCGGGCGTCCTCTCGAAGCCCAGGGGCCGGGACAGCGGCGGCCCCTGCAGCACCTGCTGCTGCTGGACCAGCTGGCCCTGGATAATGCTGCTGATCTGTGGTGGCAAGTTAGCCGTGGTGATGTGGCTTGGGCTGGCCAGGGGCTGCAGGCCAGCCCCACCCGCGGCTGCAGGGCTCTGGGGTCCCAAGTGGTGGATGGTGCCCCCTGACTGTGTGTGGGGCTGGGAGGGTCTCCGCTCTCGGACTGTGATGGGCGTACCCGGGTGCTGGAGCTGAACCTGGGCTCCCTGGGCGATCTGGGTGAGTCCTGGCCCATCCTGAAACACAAAGTGTCCGCCACTGGATGGGCTCAAGCTGATCTGCCTCACCAGCACGCTGGCATCCACGAAGCCCCCCGTGGGGCTGCTGCTGCAGAGGCCCAGCCCAGGGCCAGGAGCACCTGCACGCACATTCTGCAGGGCCTGCCCCGGCCCGGGGCCGGGCTGCGTGGGGCTCTGGGTCTGGACCTGCTGGGACAGTGGGGACGTGACCTGAATGTATGATGGAGACCCGTGCTCGAACCGCCGAGGCTGAGCACTGAACTGGAAGCCTGGAGAGGTGGGGCTGGGGAGCGGCAGCGGGGCCAGTGTGATCTGCTGGTTTCCCCCGACGACAGGGCCCACGCTCTGCAGGGTGATGTTCACATTCTGCCCGGCTGCAGGGCTCCTATTCATCAGCTGCTGTATTTGGTAACTGGGAGACTGGGGTGCCGATGGGCTCGCTGAGGGAGCGAAGGGAGCTGCGGGGGATGGGGGTGGGTTGGGGTGGGCCGACTGCTCCTCACCCTCGCTGCCAGGGCAGGCCCTGGGCCTCTGCAGCTGATGCTGGATGTTCTGGGGGCCAGTGCCATGGTGCATGATCACCTCCCTTCTATATCCAATGTGTCGTTCTCCTAAAAATTAAAATTAAAATCAAGTTACTTGAAGGCACACATAATTGTTTTATTATCATTTAACGGCACTGAAAAGACACTGTGAAAGTATGTTCCCACCGCATCTGATTCATACGACAGAGTTGACTCACAATCAATATGGCACAGCTGAAGAAATGTGTCCTCAGTTACTGCTGTACCTGGGGTGGCCCCCATGGGAGTGGGTGAGTAATCTAAACCACCTACTGAGGGAGGAACGTACCAATCATCGCTGACCTCAACAGCTAACCTGTGTGGGCGCTTGGAGAGACCAGGCCATCCCTCAAATCCTCACGGCCGCCCTGTGGGGTAGGCACTACTCACACCCCATTTGAAGGACTAGGAGACTGAACTATAGGAGTATCTGTGAGCTGTTCAAGGCCACACAGCCGGCAGGCAGAAGAGCAAGGTCTGAAGCCAACACTCACGCTGTGGACCACGAGGCCCCTTTCCAGCCTCTGCCCGCCTCTCCCTACAGAGAGACAGCTCCCTGCTCACTGCCGCCCAGTGCCCAGGACGCATTCTGTGACTCTTGTTGAATGAGGGTGTGCAGCACCACCTCGCCAGAAGCAAATACCCAGCCCTCCCCAGCCAGTAGTTCTTATCAACCTCCAGGACTACCTCAACTGCAAACTCTCCTCTTGTAAATCCAGTTCAAAGACACTGAGCCCTAGTTTTGTGTCAGGCCCGGTGCTACCACAGGAGAGTAGAGATAGACACGGGTAAGACGGTCCTTGCCCTGGGGAGGCTGCCAGCCTATGCCAGGAGCTAGGAGAAAATATGACATCAAGTCCTGGAGTGGAAGGTAGGGAACGGCCTCAGATCTCAACATTCTCCCCAAGAACACACGAAGAGAAAAAACTGAGAAGGTCTCAAGGGAGAGAGAAGGGAGATGGCCAGGACCTGGCTCTTACTCTGGGGTGAGTCGCCTTTCTGGTTTTGCAAACTCTCTGGGAGGCTGTACCACAACCTCAAAGGAGCTCTAACCCAAACGCTGCTGAGCACAAGTGGACGAGAAACAGTCGTGGAGGAGCAGATGGGGCCACTGAGGAAAGTCAGCTTTCAGGACAGGATGAAGCAGAGGATGGAGCAGACAAGGGTAATCCTGGGGTGAGACAGGGTCAGACCTGGCCTATAGACTTCAGTATCTACAGGGGAAAGGAGGACTAAAGGTAAGCAGTGGACCCCACCACTGCAGCCCCATCTGTTCCCCATTGTGGTCGCTCTTTCCCCGCTAAGAGAAGCAAGGGTGCAAATGCAATGGTGAGTGGCACCTGGCACCCAACTGAGTGCCAGCATTCCAAGAGGAGAGGTGGGACACTGTCCCACATCAAGGGGGTGGCTGCTGCTTGGATCTATTTAATAACTAATTTATGTCATAAACGAGCAAAAATCTCATTCAAGTTTTCAAGGGAAGCAGATGGACTCTTGGTGTCATAGTTTAGCACTGAGCCAGTGGGTGAGAAGCCACACCACCCCCCAACATTCCGGTTCACATTTAGGCCCACCACAGAAGCCAGCTTGACCTGGATGCCACCATTCAGACTTCTCCAGTCCTGCTGGACATACCCAGCTGCCCCCGTCTTCTTGGGGAGACTTCACCTTAACCCTGGGTGGACAGCTATCAGAGAGCTGCTTCTTACTTCCTCCAAGACAAACAAGACCCCCGTTCATCACAAGGACATCACTGCTTATCTCTATGAGAAAATGCACTGTGGATTTTTAAAAATCATGAATCTAAAGAGGATAAAAAATGGCAAGGTGTGGTGGCTCACACCTGTAATGCCAGCACCTGGGGAGGCTGAGGCAGGAGGACCACTTGAGGTCAGGTGTTCAAGACCAGCCTAGGCAACAAAGTGAGGCCCCATCTCTATAAGAAAAATACAAAAATTAGCCAGCCATGGTGGCAATGTAGCAGCCTTAGTCTTGGCTACTCAGGAGGCTGAAGGAGATCACTTGAGCCCAAGAAATTGATGCTGCAATGAAGAACAAGATTCCATCCCCCCAAAAAAAGAAGTTACAAAACGTATAAGGCTCTTCCAAGTTTCGGGTACCCAGCTGAAATATAGGTATATATGAAATCAAAAACTACAGAATTTATAAAGGCACAAGTATATTCCTTACAAACATTTTTTAAAGTGCACATTTAAACTAGCAGCAGAAAGGCATGCTTTGATCAGATGGTTAGTTTCTGAAGATGGGAGTCAGAAGACAGCACACAGGCTGTAACAACCATAGCTCAGGGGAAGAGCAGGGCCACAGAGACACCCAAGAGCATGCCCCTCCCACCACTCAGCAGAGAGCCCATCAGAGTGGGTGCAGGGACAGGAGCTCCAGGTGCGGGCAGTTAACAATGCTTATTACTTTCAAAACAAGCTTCTGTTCCTGATCTTATTAAACAAGCATTACGATAGGAGATCAGTGTGAAACAGGCACAAAAGCTAAATTAACATAGGTAGAGTATATTCGGGATTATTTCCTTACAATACATTCCCAGAGTGTCAAAGGAGATCAGTAAGAGAAAATGAGGGCTAGAAAGAAACTCTCACATACAGTAATTCAGAAAACCAGGGGAAAGGTAAGCGTTAGGAATTTTAAAGTTACGTTAAAAAACTAATTAATGCATTGAGAAAATTCAACTTAAACTCTCATCACAAACCATACATCAAAATAAATTAAGTGGCCGGGCCTGATGGCTCGTGCCTGTAATCCCAGCACTTTCGGAGGCCAAGGCAGGCGGAACACTGGAGGTCAGGAGTTCGACACCAGCCTAACCAACATGGTGAAACCCCATTTCTACTAAAAATAAAAAAATTAGCTGGGCGTGGTAGTACACACCTGTAATCCCAGCTACTCAGGAGGCTGAGGCAGGAGAATCGCTTGAACCTGAGAGGTGGAGGTTGCAGTGAGCAGAGATTGAGCCATTGCACTCCAGCCTGGGCAACACAACCAAAACTCTGTCTCAAACAAGCAAATAAATAAATAAAGCATTTTTATAAGCTAACTTTCTAAGTTTTATATTAAATGTAAAAAAAAAAAGAAATGAAAAATCAAAATGTTTCTTCTGGTAGGTGATAGAAAAAAAAAATGTTAAACTCGAACACAAAAGTGAATATTTACTAAATCTCTGAAGGAAATTCAATCCCCTAACCTTAAAAATCATAAAGTTGGCCGGGCGCAGTGGCTCAAGCCTGTAATCCCAGCACTTTGGGAGGCCGAGACGGGCAGATTACGAGGTCAGGAGATCGAGACCATCCTGGCTAACACGGTGAAACCCCGCCTCTACTAAAAAATACAAAAAACTAGCCGGGTGCGGAGGCGGGCGCCTGTAGTCCCAGCTACTCAGGAGGCTGAGGCAGGAGAATGGCGTAAACCTGGGAGGCAGAGCTTGCAGTGAGCTGAGATCCGGCCACTGCACTCCAGCCTGGGCGACAGAGCGAGACTCCGTCCCAAAAAAAAAAAAACAAAAATCATAAAGTTGTAACTGAAAAAATAGAAAGATTTGAAGATAATTTTTAAATGTTTAAAACTCAAAAACTAAATCATCAAAATCCAAAACTAAATATCTTGGAAAGAATATTTGAAGTAGATATGACAAAAAGCTATTACCAATACCGTAAAAAGCACTCATACAAATCAGTAAGAAAAACATTAAAATCCCAGTAGAAAAATGAATTAAAGACAAAAAGAGGCTGAGCATGGTGGCTCACGCCTGTAATCCCAGCACTTTGGGAGGCTGAGGCGGGTGGATCACCTGAGGTCAGGAGTTCAAAACCAGCCTGACCAATGATGAAACCCTGTCTCTACTAAATACAAAAAATTAGCCGGGTTTGGTGGCACATGCCTGTAATCCCAGCTACTTGGGAGGCTGAGGCAGGAGAATCGCTTGAACCTGGGAGGTTGAGGTTGCAGTGAGCCAAAATCTCGCCACTGCACTCCAGCCTGGGCAACAGAGCGTGACTCCTACTCAAAAAAAAAAAAAAAAAGTTCACAAAAGGAGAAAAGCATGTACTTAATCAGCTTAGAGGAAAATGACCAACCTTGCTACTAAAAAGACGAATACAGACTAAAATAAATACTTCCCCAGACCCACTTAGCCAAGACATTAAATCAGACAACTGGCACTCCACTAATCCTGCTAAAAGGAATTACAGAAGCAATTTGGGAAGGTGTAGAAAAGATTTCAAATAGGTTCAGAACCAAAACAACGCCCTGTAGGAGTAGACTGCATACGGCAGTAGGAAAGTGGAAAGAACCCATCTGACCCCAAAACTTTTGGCCTAGTAACCCTACTTCTAGAAATCTATCTAAAGGAAATTAACCTACCAATCTAAAAAATTGTACATAAATAATACTCACTGCAGAATAACAAAAAAATTAAAAAGCATAATCAGAAATTTCCAGTGTTGAAGTTCTAGATGAAAAATATGTAATAAAACCAAAATTTCCAAATATATTAAGTGAAAAAAGCAGGTTACCAATTGCATAACACAATCACTACTAAGTTAAACATACAGAAAAAGATCCACTGAAACATATCAGAATATTAAAACTGACCTTCCCCTGATGCAGACACATCAAACCGTGATAGAGCCATACAACAGACACAATCCAGCAACACCAAGGAACAAACCACTGACACACCCACAACACAGTTGAGTCTCACAGGTGCAAGATGCCAAATAACGAGGCCGAGGGCTGTGTAGGTCACTGGCATGATATTCTGGACAAGGAAAATGGTGGGGACAGACACTAGAACAGAACCTGACGGGCTGAAGGCGGAGACAGAGCTGACTAGAGAGGGGCATGAGGAAATGGGGAAGTAAAGAACTGTAGCTACAGCTTTATTTGTGATGCTGGTTACAAGACGGAATGTATCTCTCAAAAGTACACAGATGGGCCGGGTGCAGTGACTCATGCCTGTAATCCCAGCACTTTGGGAGGCCGAGGCAGGCGGATCACCTGAAGTCAGGAGTTCGAGAACAGCCTGGCCAACATGGTAAAACCCCCCGTCTCTACTAAAAATACAAAATTTGGTTGGACATGGTGGCACGTGCCTGTAATCCCAGCTACTCAGGAGGCTGAGGCAGGAGAATTCCTTGATCCTGGGAGGTGAAGGTTGCAATGAGCCAAGATCACACCACTACACTCCAGCCTGGGCAACACAGCAAGATTCTGTCTCAAAAACACAAAAAGTACACAGATGGCAACATTAAATGGACTAAGAAAAAAAAATTCAACCGTACACTAAAAAGCATAAACTTGGATGAGCGCGCTGGCTCATGCCTGTAATCCCAACACTTTGGGAGGCCGAGGCAGGTGGATCACTTGAGGTCAGGAGTTCAAGACCAGCCTGATCAACATGGAGAAACCCCATCCCTAACCAATAATACAAAATTAGCCAGGCACGGTGGCGCACACCTGTAATTCCAGCTACTTGGGAGGCTGAGGCAGGAGAATTGCTCAAACCCGGAAGGCAGAGGTTGCAGTAAGCCAAGATCGCACCATTGCACTCTAGCTTGGGCAACGAGCGAAACTCCGTCTCAAAAAAACAAAGCATAAACTTTCACCATATGTAAATTATACTTCAGTTTTGTTAAATGGCTCCCGACCTCAGTGATGTTATAAACAAGTTAGAGAAACAAAGACAAGCAACTATAATGCAGAGAAACTGTTCATCTAAAATAACACTTCTCAAAAACGTAGTACAGGCCGGGCGCGGTGGCTCACGCCTGTAATCCCAGCACTTTGGGAGGCCGAGGCGGGCGGATCACAAGGTCAGGAGATCGAGACCATGGTGAAACCCCGTCTCTACAAAAAATAGAAAAAAATTAGCCGGGCGCGGTGGCGGGCGCCTGTAGTCCCAGCTACTCGGGAGGCTGAGGCAGGAGAATGGCGGGAACCCGGGAGGCGGAGCTTGCAGTGAGCTGAGATTGCGCCACTGCACTCCAGCCTGGGCGACAGAGCGAGACTCCGTCTCAAAAAAAAAAAAAAAAAAAAAAAAAAAACTTTTGCATTCATCTACTTATTCAACAAATTGTTACTGCACATTTAATGTCAGATACTGTTTGACACACTGGGGATCTAAGAGTGAGCAAAGCAAAGTGGCACGTGCCAGGTACTAAGTGCAATGGAAGAGACTTATGCAGAATAAGGGGAGGGAGCTACTTCGGGGAGGCGGGCCAGTTGCCATGATGCAGGGCAAGGAGGGAAGGCCTCTCTGAATAAGAGAATTTTGAAAGAACACACTAGATGAGAGTGAGACCCATGCCCATGTAGGTCCCAATGTGCTAGACAGAAGCAACACGTGCCCAAGCGCTGAGCCAGGTGCAGTTGGTGGCTCAAGGAGAGTGGCTGGGGTCATGAGGTGATCAGTTGGGTGCTGGACCACAAGGCCACAGGGCCACAGAGACAGCAGAGGCCTGGTCACTAATGGCCTCCAGAAACTGCCTTCAGAACTCTGGCTTTTGGTCTGAAGATGAGAAACCATGAAGGGAGCAGAGAAGCACACGATGTGATTTCTGTTTTAAACACATCACTCAGCTGCCATGCTGAGAGTAAACTGCAGAAGTCATGTCTGAGACCACTCTAGAAAGCACTGACAGGTCAGACTTAGGATGCCGAAGAAATGCATAGTTCACTACAAGGTGCTATAACCACAGCAACAGAGAGAGTGAAGCTGCCCCTGACTGAGAGAGAACAGAGCGTGTAAGAAACAGGTTCCCAGCCAGGCACGGTGGCTCATGCCTATAATCCCAGCACTCTGGGAGGCCAAGGCGAGCGAATCACGAGGTCAGGAGATCGAGACCATCCTGGCTAACACGGTGAAACCTCATCTCTACTAAAAATACAAAAAATTAGCCTGGCGTGGTGGCGGGTGCCTGTAGTCCCAGCTACTCAGGAGGCTGAGGCAGGAGAATGGCGTGAACCCGGAAGGTGGAGCTTGCAGTGAGCCGAGATCACGCCACTGCACTCCAGCCTGGGCAACAGAGCGAGACTCTGCCTCAAAAAAAAAAAAAAAAAAAATACACACACATAAAACAAACAAACACACACAAAAATGAAACAGGTTTCTCACATGTAAAAGTAGCAATGTGGCGTAGAAAGATCTAGCCAGATGCAATGCGGGACACGCCAGTAAGTTACGTTCAGTCGACACAAGATTATAATATCCGGGACTTACAGACCAGAGAAAGGGTCTGAGGATTGCCCTGAGGCAGTGTAGCATTCACAGGTAACAGAGATGAGAAGGGATCAGCAAGGAGACTGGGGGTAGCAGCCGGTAAGGTAAGTGGAGAACCATTCAAGAGGGGTGTCTCCATGCCTGAGGGAGATAATGTTTCAAGGAAGCCACAAGCTGCTGCTGTAAGAGCTGCTAAAAGGGAACCTGGCAATGTGGAGGCACCAGAAATCCCCAAAGGAGCTGTTTCAGTAGAGAGAGAGAGACCAAAAGCTTAACTGAAGTTGGTTTAAGAGACCAGTAGAGGCTGGGTGCAGTGGCTCACGCCTGTAATCTCAGCACTTTGGGAGGTCGAGGCAGGCGGATCAAGAGGTCAGGAGTTTGAGACCAGTCTGGCCAACACGGTGAAACCTCGTCTCTACTAAAAATACAAATATTACCCGGGCGTGGTGGCGGGCGCCTGTAGTCCCAGCTACTCAGGTGGCTGAGGCAGGAGAATTGCTTGAACCCGGGAGGCAGGGGTTGCAGTGAGCCGAGATCCTGCCACTGCACTCCAGCCTGGGAGACAGAGTGAGACTCTGTCTAAAAATAATAATAAGAATTACAAAAAATCATTTTACTGCACATATTCTGCTAAAAAAAGAAAGACAGAACACAAATAAGTAAAAAAGACTACAACTCATCCATGAACCCATAGAGAAGCCCTATGAACACTTCCACGGTCCCGGCGCCACGGCTCACGCTACAGTCCCAGCACTGGGAGGGCAAGGCGCTAGGGCTGTTTGAGCTCAGGAGCTCGAGACCAGCCTGGGCAACACAGTAAGACCCTAATTCAAATAATAAAAAATTGGCCGGGCGTGGTGCCTCACGCCTGTAATCCTAACACTTTGGGAGGGCGAGGAGGGCAGACTGCCCGAACTCAGGAGTTCGAGACCAGCCTGGGCAACACAGTGAAACCCCGTCTCTACTAAAACCCAAAAAAATTGGCCGGGCACGGTGGCTCATGCCTGTAGTCCCAGCACTTAGGGAGGCCAACGGGGCCGGATCACGAGGTCAGGAGTTCCAGACCAGCCTGACCAACACGATGAAATCCCATCTCTCCTAAAAATACAAAAAAAAAAAAAAAAAAAAAAAAATAGCCGGGCGCGGTGGCGGGCGCCTGCAGTCCCAGCTACATGGGAGGCTGAGGCAGGAGAATCACTTGGATCCAGGAGGCGGAGGTTGCAGTGAGCCGAGATCGCGCCACTGCACTCCAGCCTGGGCGACAGAGAGAGGCTCCGTCTCAAAAAAAATAAAATAAAATAATAAAACAAATCAAAATAAAAAGTTAGCCGGGCATGGTGGCCCAAGCCTGCGGTCCCAACCCCTCGGGAGGTCGAAGCTCTAGTGAGCCGTGATCGCGCCACCGCACGCCGACCTGTGCAACAGAGCGAGACACCGTCTCAAAAAGTAACACTAACAAAGCACCGGGAGGCGTTACTTTTCCGTCACTGACACGGCGACAGCCGAGCGGAGGCCCGTGGGCCGCAGGTGTGTGAGCCGAGGCGCTCCCGGCGGAGACGGCCGCGATTCCTAAGGCTCGGCGGTGGAGGACCAGGCGGGTCTACGCCGACAAGCAGCGGATTCGGACCGCGCTGTCACCCCCGTGGCGGCGCGTTCCGGGACACCCGTGGCGCGGGGTCCTTCAGTGCTGGGTGAATTCGCCCCGTCGCGCCTCAGGGAAGTGGTTCTGGACGTCCCATCCTCGCACCTCAGCGTCGCGTTCGTGACCGCGAGGGAAGCCCACGCGCGCGCCAGAATCAACAGCCACCCACGCAGCCCCGAGAACCAGGAGGTGCCAGCCGAGTCCCCCGATTCCCGCAAGGCCGCCAGGCCGAGCTGCCATCGACCACGCCCCCAGCCCAGGAGCCCGGGGGACCCAGCGAAACGGGCGCGCATCGTGCGACCTGCCGGCGACGGGCGCTACGACACGAAAGACCCGGGCCCGTGAGCCCTCAGCGCGGTCGCCCGCCCGGGGTCGCACACGGCAGCCACCACGGCCTGGTCCCCACGCGAAGCCCGAGGCCGGCCGGCGAGCGGGCCCTGTACGCCGGCGGCTGCGGCTACGCGACCCCAGGGCCCTGGCCGCTGCCGTCCGGAGAGCCTCCCGCGCCTCCGCCCTTACTTACCCTGGGCCTCCGGGCTGGGCTCCGGCCGCGTCAGGAGAGCGGGAGGATGGAAGCGGCGCCGCAGCCGCTCATCGCATCCGGGGCCCCGGCGGAGGAAGCGGCGGCAAGGCTGCTACGGCGAGCCGGAAGGGACGCGCGTCGGCGCTCCCGTAGAGCTGCGCTTTCGCGGCGCGGCTCTGACCGCGCGAGGGCGCTGGAGGACGAGGGCGCCGGAGGACGAGGGCGCCAGAGGACTAAGGCGCCGCGACACTCTGCGCGGTGGGCGGGGGCGAGGCCGAACGCGAGGCCGAGACTGAGGAAGGCGGGGGCGGGGCCGAGACTGAGGAAGGCGGGGGCGGGGCCGAGACTGACGGAGGCGGGGCGGGGCCGAGACTGAAGAAAGCGGGGGCGGGGCCGAGACTGACGGAGGCGCAGCAACCTGGGTTTTCCACGCGCAGTTCGGGAAGTGCGCCCACGGGGAACAGAAGTGGGCCGCCAGTTCTCATACTCTGCAGATTCACCAAACAGACCAGGCTGACATGCAAGACCCAAACCCTGTGTGGCCCAGGCTGGCCTCGAACTCCGGGGCTCCAGTGATCCTCCTGCCTCAGTCTCCCGACTAGGTGGGACCACAGACTCGCGCCACCACGCCCGGTTAATTTTTTGTATTTTTAGTAGAGAAGGGGGTTTCACCAAGTTGGCCAGGCTGGTCTCGAACCCCCCCGACCTCAAGTGATCCGCCCACCTTGGGCGGGATTACAGGTGGGAGCTTCCACGCCCGGCCAAAAACGATAAAACTCTATTAAAAGACACAGACGTGGCTCACGTCTATAATCCCAGCACTTTGGGAAGCCGAGGCGGGAGGATCATTTGAGGTCAGGAGTTCCAGACGAGTCTGGCCAACATGGTGAAACCCTGTCTCTACTAAAAATACAGAAAATTAGCTGCGCGTGGTGGTGCGCGCCTATAATCCCAGCTACCCGGGAGGCTGAGGCAGGAGAATCGCTTGAACTCGGGAGGCGGAGGTTGCAGTGAGCCGAGGTCATGCCACTGCACTCCAGCCTGGGCAACGGAATGAGACTCTGTCTCCAGATAAATACAGACATAGGCGTGAATCTTCGGGGTTCTGGTTTAGGAAGTGGTTTCTTAGATATGACACTGAAAACACAGCTAACAAAAGAAACATAGATACACTGGACATCACAATTTAAAACGTTTGTGCTGCAAATGACACCATTTTAAAAAGATAATCCACAGAACAGGAGAAATTACTGTAAATTCATATGTCTGACATGGAACTCGTATCCAAAGTAAATAATTTACAACAGAACAATTAAAAGACAGGGCAGGCACAGTGGTTCCTGCCTGTAATCCTAGCACTTTGGGAGGCTGAGGCAGGTGTATCCCTTGAGCCCAGGAATTCAAGACTAGCCTGGGCAACATAGAGAGACCCCATCTCTACAAAAAATTTAAAAATTAGCCAGTCATGGTGGCATACACCTGTAGTCCCAGCTACTCAGGAGACTGAGGGAGAATCACTTGAGCCCAGGGAGGCTGAGGGTGTAGGAAGCTGTGATCATGCCACTACAATCCAGCCTGGGTGACAGAGTGAGATTCAGTCACACATACACACACAAAAAAAAATTTAAAAATGGACAAAGGAATATGTATGCTTCAAAAGATGTACAAACGACCAAGTACAGAAAAAGATGTCCAGTGTCATTGGACATTAAGGAAACACAAAACTACAACCAAATACCACTTTATCCACTATGATGGCTAGAATCAAAAAGTCAGGTTAACAGGCCAAGCGTGGTGGCTCACGCCTGTAATCCCAATGCTTTCATAAACTAAAGAGGTGGATTATTGGAGCCCAAGAGTTCAGGACCAGCCCAGGCAATGTAGCAAGACCCCATCTCAACAAAAATTCAAAAATCAGCCAGGCATGCGCTGCGCACCTGCAATCCCAGCTACTTGAGAGGCTGAGGCAGGGGGATCGCTTGAGCCCAGAAGTTGCAGGCTGCAGTGAGCTGTGATCACACCACTGCACTCCAGCCTGGGCAACAGAGCAAGAACCTGTCTCAAGGGGAAAAAAATAGATAATGGCAGTGTAGGGGAGAATGTAGAGAAATCGGAACTCTCATACACTGCTAGTGGCAATTTAAAATGATGTAGCCACTTTGGAAAATAGGCAGCAGTTCCTCAAAAAGTTAAACGTAGATGGTGTTTCAGAAATAAAGTATTTTTTTAAAAAATGGTTCAATATAGAGTTAACACACGGTCCAGCTATCTCACTCCTAAGGTTATACCCAAGAGAAAAGCCATGTCCACAGAAAAATATGTACACAAATGTTCTCAGCAGCATTATTCATAATAGCCTAAACGTGAAAATAATCCAAATGCCTATCAACTGATGAGTGGACAAACAAAATGTATGCACATAATGGAATATTATGCAGCCCGAAAAAAACGGTTGGGGATGAGGCACTGACCCAGGATGAAACTTGCATGAACCTTGAAAACATCCTCCTGAAATGAAGAAGCCAGACAGACACAGAAGGCCACAGATTGTTTAACTCCATTGATATAAAATCTACAGAATTCATGAATCAGAGATGGAATGTAGATTTGGCCAGGCATGGCGGCTCATGCCTCTAATCCCAGCACTTTGGGAGGCCAAAGCAGGCAGGCCACCTGAAGTCAGGAGTCTGAAACTAGCGCAGCCAACATGGTAAAACCCCGTCCCTACTAAAAATATAAAAATTAGCTGGGCGTGGTGGCTCGTACCTGTAGTCCCAGCTACTCGGGAGGCTGAGGCACGTGAATTGCTTGAACCCAGAAGGCGGAGGTTGCAGTGAGCCAAGATCATACCACTGCACTCCAACCTGTGTGACAGTGCAAGACAAGACTCCTTCTCAAAAAAAAAAAAAAAGAAAAAAAATGACAACTTCGTCCAGGCTGGTGGCTCACGCCTGTAATCCCAGCACTTTGGGAGGCCAAGGCAGGTGGATCACTGGAGGTCAGGAGTTTAAGACCAGCCTGGCCAACATGGTGAAATTCCGTCTCTACTAAAAATAGAAAAATTAGCCATGCGTGGTGGCAGGTGCCTATAATCCCAGCTACTCAGGAGGCTGAGACGGAAGAATCGCTTGAGCCCGGCAGGCAGAGGTTGCAGTGAGGCAAGATCGAGCCACTGCACTCCAGCCAGGGCAATAGAGCAAGACTCTGTCTCAAAAAAAAAAAAAAAGTAAGTAAATTAGTGGTTATCAGGGACTGTGGGGAGAGGACAGGCAGTGACTGCAAATGAATGTGGGGTTTCCTTTTCGGGTTGATAAAAATGCTGTGAAATGAGACAGGGTTGATGGTTACACAACTTTATAAATTTACTAAAAGTCACTGAATTATATACTTTAAAGGGGTGAATGTTATGGTATGTATGTGAATTATGTCTGAATTTATTTTTTTAAAAAGAAATGTGGGCTGTGAGGTAAAGTGATGAATGCTTAACTTTAAAGACACTAAAAATGTTTGGCTCTGCACAGTGCCTCATACCTGTAATCCCAGCACTTTGAGAGGCTGAAACAAGAGGATCGCTTGAACACAGGAGTTCAAGGTCAGCCTGGGCAACATAGTGAGACGTCACCTCTACAAAAAATAAAAAATAAATAAACTGAAAATTTTAAGGAGAAACCAGAGGGAAGGTTGGAAGGGGATAAAATTAGGTGGATAACAGGGGAGTGATCTTGCGTGTTGAAGTGCTGTGAAGCAGTAGACATGCTGATACACGAGAAAAGACAGATTCAAAGTGCAAGGTCTGAGAAGGCAGGAGAAAGACGACGGAGAAACCATCGAGGGCTCGGGCACTGGAGAGGGAGACCTCTTCCGCTGCGAGGCAGGAAGTGCAAGCCTGGGTTGGGATTCAAGAGGATGCGGAGTGGGGTTTCCTGGCCTCCATTCTCTCATGGAGTGGGAGTGACCCATCTGCTGAGGGCATGGGACAGTGGTCGCCGGGGTGAGGAGACCGAAGGCGACCAGATATGCCAGTGAGAAGTGCCATGGGACTGTCTGCCAGTAGAAACTCCGGCTGACTGTTGAACTGGCAGTGACGGTGGACACGGAGCACAGCACCAACCACGTTCTCCCTTATTGTCACAAACGAGCATCAGAAGGCTGACAGTTGGTTGGGCGCAGTGGCTCATGCCTGTAATACCAATACTTTGGAAGGCAGAGGTGGGCAAATCATTTGAGGTCAGGAGTTCGAGACCAGCCTGGCCAACATGGTGAAACCCCATCTCTACTAGAAATACAAAAATTGGCCAGGCACAGTGGTTCACGCCTGTAGTCCCAGCACTTTGGGAGGCCGAGGTGGGCGGATCACGAGGTCAGGAGATCAAGACCATCCAGGCTAACACAGTGAAACCCTGTCTCTAATAAAAATACAAAAAATTGGCCGGGCGTGGTGGTGGGCGCCTGTAGTCGCAGCTACTCGAGAGGCTGAGGCAGGAGAATGGCGTGAACCCGGGAGGCAGAGCTTGCAGTGAGCCGAGATCGCGCCACTGCACTCCAGCCTGGGTGACAGAGCAAGACTCCATCTCAAAAAAAAAAAAAAAAAAATACAAAAATTAGCAGGTCATGATGGTGCCTGTAGTCCCAGTGATTCAGGAGGCTGAGCCACAAGAATCACTTGAGCCCAGGAGCTGGAGGTTGTGTTGAGCCGAGATCGCAACACTGCACTCCAGCCTGGGTGACAGAGCACCATTACAAAAAAAAAAAAGAGGAAGGCCAGCAGTTGAGTAAAACCACGGGTAGGGGCTTTCATGCCAAGGTACCGTCTCAAGGAGGCACAGAATCCTGGAAGTGGTAAACTATGGAATCCAGGCAGAGGCAGTCAGGATGAAGCAGCCGAAGGAGAAAAGAGGGGTTGGTAATGTGAGGTGTTGACTCAGTCATCAGTGCAGGATTCAGGACACAAGTAACACGTGGTGCTGCCCAGTGGCAACACGGAGCACCACAACACAACGGTTTCCATCCTCGCTCACTTACACTGAGAAAACCATACTGCACCTCCCCACCTTAGGACTTCCTGCCTCACCCCCAGGCATGAAATACTGACTGCGGGTAAGTGAAATGATGGGTTCCGCAAATTTTTCAGACTGGCTGTTTCAATGAGAAGCTATTAATTTTGGTGAAAATAAATGTATCAC